TGCCTTTGCATCGCTTGCTGTTGCTGCAATACATCAGTCACCGTCGTCATGACCTGTTCGAGAGTTTGTTCGGTTAACCGACGATCGCCTCCGCCTTCGTATCTGTCTTGCACAAACGTCGTGTCCGTCGCGGAAGTACGAGCTTGAGGTTCATTGTTCGAATTTGCCCCGAGTAAATCTTGTACCGGTCCGTTACGCTCCAAATGCGTGAGAATCGCGTCAATAAATCGGTCGCGGTTATTTGAAACCGGGAGCCGATATTCGGTCGCTTCCCGTTGTAATTGTACTAGGGTGGCCGACTCTAGCCATTCTCTATCCATTTTATAAACCTTTGTTCTAATTCTAACCGACTTTTTTTTTTCGAGCTTGGTTAAACGACCGACACGTCACCAACAACAGACTCTGAATCCGTGATCCCACTTCTGAGTTGTAAGGGAGATAAAACGATCACCTAATTTCTTTCTTCTATCGTAAGTACGACCGTTTCGTCGTCTTTCGTAGGAAGTTGATGGTTTATATATTGAATAAACGAGACTTTATGAAAACACACTTATATATATTTATAACCCAACTAACACTAATACAAAATATAACACGTATTCTTATATCTAAATATTCGGCTCCTAATCTAATCCTTCCAGGAGATATTCGATACTTGAATATTCCCAGAGATCTCTCCGACTAATCCCACTATTCGACTATTCTCAAAATTCCCTTCACGATCCTTTCGCCTTTCTCTTTCTGAGTATATTTTGAGTCTCCACGTATCTCTACGTGTCTCTCTCAAAATCTTCGCGCTCGCCTTTTTGTTCCTCTCTTCCTCCTGAAACTCTCCGTCTCTCCTACCTCCTTCCTGTCTCCATCGACTTCGACTGCGCCCTCGATGTATCGAGTTGTCTAATCGAGAATTCCTCCAACTCGATACCCCTTACAATATATAATTATCAAGGATAATACAGCGCATTTATTAAACAACCTATTAACTTGGGAAAGAGTGATACCGCGCACAAGGTCAAAACAATTATCACTATCATTTAATATTTGAATATTATTATTTCTTTATTCGATTATTATTTAATTTACTCGGTTATATTTTAATTATTGCTATTATGCATAGGAAAGCAACTCGGGCGTATCGTTACGACGATTTCTTTATGATTTCTTTGTCTTGGTTCTTGGTTATTATCATCGTTGCGATAAATAGTTGCGTGGGAAATTATATACATACATACATATATATATATATATATATATATATATATATATATATATAATATATATATATATACAGGGTGTTCAAAAAGTCCCGGACCGGTGAAATATCTCGAAAACTAAGCATTTTA